TCGTGACTCAGCAATTCTATACGTTACTCAGTGCTCACTACGGTAAGTGTAATCACCGTCTGTCACCACATAATGTTATTACAGTATTACTGACTATATTCCCTATGCTATACTTTGCACCTCCGTGACTTATTTTCTATCGGGAAGTTCGTACCTCTGAATCCTCTTCACCTATTTCGCCCCTCCTCTCACCCCCCCCTCCTTCTGACAACCACCAGTTTGTTCCCTGTATTTATGGGTCTGCTTCTGGTTTTTTGTTTTCATTCCATTTTACCATTGCCCGATGTCTTACAGTTTACATAGTGCTTTCAGATAAATTGTCAGTAATTAGAATCCCAGGACCTAGAAAATATGTTTTAAGAGGGACAATGTTGGGACAAATAATAATTTTCAATGAAAGTTGGAAATGCACTCTCCAAGTGTAGTAATGCCCTTCTTGCCATGGAAGCTGGATGCTTTGCCCCAAGCATCATGATGACAATGACAGTGGGTCTGAGGAGGGGCGATAAACATCAGATTTAGCGGGCTGATTGTTTTTCTTCCTCTGTCTACCAAGTTGGACTGCATTATGAATTGGTAGAGAAGGAAATGAATGGAGGTAAGAACTACAAAATCTCAGACCAGCTGACACATGGCAAAAGGACTCATCAAATGTCCAGTTTGGGGGGGTCTATGGACTAGAGACCTCTTGCTGCCGGTGGGTGTGGGGGGAGGGAACAGGCAGGACCCACTCCGCAGAAGAGGCCTGCTAATGGAAAGCCTTAGGCTCCACAAAGGCTTCTGTTGAGAGGTTCATGGTACTATTGCCTATGTCACATGCCATGAATTTAAGGCTTGGAATCTCTCACTTGAACTTTTTTTGTGCCGTCCCGGTGTGTGCCAAAAAAAAAAAAAAAAGAAAAAAAAAAAAAAGAAGCTGCCAAAAAGCAAACATTTTCCTGTCTCTAAAAATAAAATGCTGGCAACAGTTCAGGCCTCTGTGCCAAGACCTGGCCCTTCCCAGGATAAACAATAGGTGGCCAAGCTGATCCCAGGCAAGCACTGAGCCCAGGAGCAGGCCTGGGTCCAGCCTGGAATGCCTAGGTCAGGGCATGTGTAGCTGTAAAACTAGAAGCCAAAGGTGGCCCTCCCTCCTCCCCAGCTGAAGAAGGGCAGCTGCTACCCCACAGCCAGGGGCCAGGTGTGGCTGAGAGGGGACAGCCTCGGGTTTCACCAGAAACCTTGACCCAGGGGAGGCCACAGAGTTCACACTGTCCCCTGCCCCCAGATCCCCAGGGTGCACAGTGACAGATTTGAGGGCTATGAGAGCCTGTCCAGAGAAAGCTCCCCAGGAAAGAAAGTTTCATAAGTACCCATCTGCGTTCATCACCCAGGCTTGTGCCCATCACCTGTCAAATGCCCAGCTGAGAGCTCTCACCTGCTAGATACAGGCCCAACAAAAACACCACAGTGTATGAATGCTATAATAACCACCATTGCTCCCACTCAAATTGCCTCGCAGCTCGTCATATGCTTCTATAGCATTTGTTCCAGCCCCTGTGCCTTGTCATTAGGGTTCAAATCTTCCCTAGACCATAAGCTTGGCTTTTTGCTGGTTTGGGGAGTTTAAAAGGCTAAGAGGGGGTTAGGGGAGGAGAAGGACTAAATATAGCAAATATTTGCAGGCATAATCACTCCATAAACATGCTTCAGTGGAACAGAGTGTAGGACCGACCCAGATGACGGATGTCACTCACCCGAGTGTCACATCATAAATAAAACTGAATGAGCCCATTCTCCTACAGGACCAGAGTGACGCCTGTTCACACTATAAATATTTATGAAGTCATGGTCCTTAAAAGACTTTATTTTTCCAGGTAAGTAGACTTTAATGAAAAAGTTGAGCAGAGCTTTTCCTGCAATTATGGAATAGTCACTGTAGCTTTTCAACGGGTATTCCATGGAAAAGGAAAGAAGAAAAGGAAAAATAAGGCCCCATTCCAAGAGGCTGCTGCACGAAGATCTCATTTATGCCAGTCAAGACTCATTCTCATTCAAAAAGGGACAGCCTCCTCTGAGGTGGGCAGAAACCAGAAGAACACTATCAGTCCTGTTCTACCCAGGCCTGTGCAATGAAGGAGGCACAAACAGATCCTTGTCACCCAAGTTCAGACCCCTCCCACCACCTCTGCTGGGAGAGACATTCTCCTTCGCGTTCTCAGCTCTCTCAGCCTGTCTCTTAGTAACAGAAAAAATGTACACCTCACCCCATTCCTATGCTCATGTGCAAAGAATTCTCAGAATGTGAGCATGTGTGCCTGGGTGTCTCTGGAGTGTTTATGTAGAGACCCCCCACTCCTGCCCTTACTTACTCCCAATTGCATTAGCAATAGCCCCCCCCAGAAATGGCGCCAGAATCGGGCTAGCTTTTCCTGCGCTCTTCACCACCCACCACTGCAAAGAGCAAACACCCTTTGGGCTCCCAGCACCTCTGCCACACTCTCCTCTTCCAAGGCACTGGGGCAGTCCTGTCACCTGGAGCTCATAAGCCATTGTCTCCAGTAAAATACAAGCCAATTTTTCATGTCTCTTTGCAGCATACGTGTTACTCATCACTTCAGTGCACCAAAACCCTTGCCCAAGTCCAGCAAGCCTGTTTCTTTCCCAGGGATGGCCTTCTGCCCAGGCTCCTTTCCCCTGCAAACATCAAGGTGGCCCCTGCTATGTCAGGCTGAACTGGCCCCGTAGGGAAAAGTTGAAGATCATTTGGCTCTAGCCTCCAGGAAGTCTTGCTCCACAAGGAACAAGAGTCTCTGGTTTTATGAAAATGAGTCACAGGCTGCCTTGACCGTGCCTATCTGGGGAGGCCAGGGCTGCCATGTATGGTCCGTGCTCTGTGCCACCCACCTCTCCATGTAAGTCGGAGTTCTTTGCCAGGACAGCCTGAGTCATAAAACTCAGCACATTCCTTAGGCATTGGATAGTCTTTCCTTGTTATTACTTTGCTTTTGTTTTATGTAGCACCTGGTTTCATTTTAAAAACCCAAATAAAATCTCATGGTCAGGGGTTGGGGGTGGTGGTGGAGATAGCAAGGGAAGAAAAAGAGAAAGAAGGGAGTGAAGCGTAGGCTAGGGGAAGGAAGACAGGGCTGTAACACCTCCCTCCCCAGGCACGATCCAGAGTGGGACAGAGAAGGGACTGCGGAGTGAAGGGCAAGAGAGAGGATGTACTACAGCTGAATTGAGTTTGATCAAAGTCCTTTGTGCAGTATATGAGAAGGCACTTGATGTCTCTGTCTCTTCCTTAAATTAGGCCACAGTACTGAAAGCCGAGTGACCTTCTCTACACTTTCAGAGTCTCCTCAATAAACTGACAGGCTTATTTGTGATGAATTCTAAGGAACTTTGCAGTTATAACACTATGTATGAATCTGTTTCCTTTTTTCTTGGACCATAAACCCCAATCCATGTGTAAGGGAGTATGTTCCCACAAGCCAGTATTTGTTTTTTGTCTGTGGGGGGATAGAGAAATGGGAGACAACAGAAAAAAAGGTGTAGACCCAACCGCACAAATGCTGCTGTTCGAACTGAATTTCTGTGGCCAGGTTATTTTGTAACCTCATCTGTCAAGCCGTTAACATAGAGTTTTAGAATTAAAACAGAACTCTAATAAGCAATGCCTTGCATCTGGTAAACAAATACTGAATGAATGAAGGAAGGAAGGAATGATGCCAATTGACATAGAGAGTTGTATTTTCTTGGAGTAGTCAAGCATATTAATTACAACATAAGCCAGAACATTGGGTACCTGACTCAGAACTTAAATAGAGGCCTTTACCTCCCTCTGCCTGAGATTCTCTAAACGAGGTTGGCAAAAGCAAAAATCCTGGAGGTTCCTGAGTGGCTCCAAGGCTACATTTTCAATGCACGGTTTGGCGAGCTTAATGGAAACCATACGAAGGGATCCCGGGAACCAGACCAGATGGCTTCCCGGGAATGTATTTAGCCTAACCCGGGTTAAAGAACAAAAATAACCACTAGGAGTTGAGGCGGGCGGGGGGGGGGGGGGGGGGGGGGGGGGGGGTGCGACTTTTAATGAATTACCTTTTCTATTCCACAGCAATCATGTGAAGGACAGTCTGGGTAAATGGAAGTAAATGGAGGAGGGGGCAGAGGGCGGGGCGGGAGGTGGGCAGCAAGGGGTAGGAAGTAGCTACTTTCGTAACCACACTGTTCCGCTTGCCCTCAAAGAACACGAGCCGTTGGGACGCTTTGCGGCCCTGGACCGCGTCTGGCTCCTTCCCGCGCGCAGGGACTTCGCGCCGCCGCCACGGCAGCCGCGCCTGAGCCCCGCCTCCAGCGCGCGGCGCCGGGGAGAGCGGGAGGCGGACGGGACGTGCGGAGCTGCGGGAGGGAGGAGCGTGGGGGGGGAGGAGCGTGGGGGGAGGGGGAGCAGGGGGAGGGGGAGAGGAAGTCCGCGGCGGACAGAGGGGCGGGGCGTGGGCGGGGCCTGGAGGCCGCGAGGCTCCTCCCGGGAGCGCAGGGGCTGGAAAAGCCGCGGCGTTCCCCGCCCCAAGTTCCCAGCCGGCGTCCCCGGAATCACCGCCGCGTGTCCCACGGTCCGGGCGCGTTTGCTTTCCCGCGGCGCCCGCTGCGGAGGAAAGCCTGGCCGTGGAAGGCTGCGGCTCTTCTGGGCTATGGCTCTGAATACAAAAAAGCCTTTCTCACGCCCCTGCGGCCCTCCCCGACCGGGGCTCCAGATAGAGGGGACCGGCCCGTTGATGCTGGAGCCTGCAGCTGTGGGGGCCACAGCACCATTTCTGTGGTTCTTGCAGAGAAGGGTGGCTCCAGGTATTTACTCTTAAAAAAATGATTTTATGTAATGATTATACCGATAACTTTTGTTCCCGCTTCTAATTTAAGAGGGAAAAAAAAAAGGGGATGGAGGGTGTTTGAAGCCCAGGGAAGTGTCTGAAAAAGCCAGTCGGCTAAGGTCTAGATCTTACCGGGCCCACTCTTACCTCAAAGTCTTTAAACGAAGCTGCAGGCCTCTAGCTCTGGGACTGGGTTTTCCGACTCAGCTCAGTGACGAGAACGGTCCCCCCAGGCTATAAACGGAGTACTGATCACTTTCTGAGTCTTCAGACGAGCCAACCTTGCTGGCCGAATTACACGGTTCCTGAAGCTGGAGAAAAATGGCCTGGTTGTTAGCCCTTGCCCTTCCACTGAGGTTACTTTCTGCACGGAACTGGGAGTGAAGTTGCCAAGACCTCATTGTTGAGCAGGAGTCGGGATTGTTCCTGCATTTTCCTCCATCTCCGTTAACCTATTACATGTATCGTGTCTCTGTTAGGAAGGCCAGTCCAAACGCAGGAGAGAGAAAACATGTAAGAACCCTGGCATCACAAGCCATCGCTGCTTCTCTCCCGCCCCTTACTTAATCATCCGTGAGTGGTAAGATTGTTTCCCCTGCCTCCCCTAGGGTTCCTTTAGTATGGACATTCCTGGGTGTGAGTTTCTCTACTTGACAATTTTACAACGTGAGTTCCTTGAAGATAGGGCCCAGGAAAAGCAGTATTAAGAAGATGGTTACCAAGGCATTCAACGCCAAGCAGATTCTTTAAAAACTGAGAATATTGTTAATGATGGTTGAAAATTTCATCCAGTCCTTACGTGTTGCTGAGGATTTCGTTCAATCCCTACTTTTTGCTGATGCAGGAATTTGTACATTTTACCCCTCATTGCTTGTTCTCCCCCAAAATACAGCACCTCTAAAAAATTTTAAGATTTTGCCTTGTCTAATAAATAAAAGGTCATGGTTTATTTGTTATTTTTGGTCAGAACTTCAAGCCCCAAGTTTCCCAAACAAGTACCCCATATTCTTTGTGGGAGCAGGGAGGTTCCGGACGGGGAGTACTTTTAGCCTGTTGTACCGCAAAATCAAGAGTAGGATGTAATGCCACTACTTTGTCAGGAATTGTTGACTTAAAAGAGGCCACTGTGAGTATAGTAAAATCACTTTAGGGGTGGGGGCCGGGGAAGTATCTCAAAGAGAAAGGCAACTGTTCCCAAGAGCAGCTGCAGCTACTGGCAGTGGAATCGCTTGGAACCAGTACAACTCCACGCAGCAAGAGGGACTGATTTATTTAGCAATGGTTAATGATTCTCCCAAGCAAACCCCAGGAGGCCCGGCTAGCAACAAATACACTTTCAGGAAATCATCTACCCTTCCTAGAAGGATGCAACAACCCTACAGTGAAGGGAGGTCCCCGGCCACCCGCACAATACATCTTTTAGTCCACTGCCCAGCTTCAAATGCCCCCAAAGAACTCCCTCCACAGCCTACCACAGCCCTGCCCTGTCGTGCTTACAATGTTCCCTAGGAAAGGTATCAAAGCCTAAAGCAGAAAAATCAAGAAAAGTGCACAATTTTTGGAAGGCCATCATTGAATGGTACCGGGGAACCCAGGTGGGTTGTCTAGCCAGGCCCCATTAGCTAATTTTGTGAGATTAGCTAGTTGGTGCCCATAGACTAGCATGTTCCAAAATGATATGTGCATGTAACTGGTGGTTCTTGTGATAATGTTAGGTGGTACCTGAATAACATTTCTTATTTTCATAGTCAGGGTTTTTGTCTAATACATACAACTAGGAATACCAAATCTGTGGTGTCACAAATATAATTACTTAGGGTGAGGCTGGGATTTTTTTCAAGTCAATTTATTTTATTTTATTTTTTGACATTTATTTATTTTTGAGAGACAGAGAGAGACAGAGCTTGAGTGGGGGAGGGGGGGTGCAGAGAGAGAGGGAGACACAGAATCCAAAACAGGCTCCAGACTATGAGCTGTCATCACAGAGCCGGATGCAGGGCTCAAACCCACGAACCATGAGATCATGACCTGAGCTGAAGTCAGATGCTTAACCCCTTTTTCAAGTTAATTTAAAGATAAATCTTAATAAACAAAAGTAATGGGATAGCAAAACTAATTAGTTGTAACTTTTATATTGAGGTGAAGTCAGTGGAGTACTTGTAGAAACTAGTTTTTATTCTTTTTTTCAACTCATTCTTTAGGAATCTCTGCCAGAACTTTTAAGACAAAAAAAGAATTCCATTTTAACATCCTGTTAAAAATTACTGGATTTTGAGGGGAACCTGGGTGGCTCAGTCAGTTACGTGTCTGACTCTTGACTTCAGCTCAGGCCATGATCTCACAGTTTGTGAGTTCAAGCCCCGTGTTGGGCTCTGCACTGATGGTGAGGAGTCTACTTGGGATTCTGTCTCTCTGCCCTCTCTCTCCTTCTCACTCTCTCTCAAAATAAAGAAATAAACTTTAAGAAAATTACTTGATTTTGAGAAAGTCTGATCGGCAAAGACAGAGGCCCTGCTCTGGAGAGCCACGTCAGGGGGAGCAGAGATAGTAGATATTGGGTGGTGGAACAAGCTTATGAGGAGAGTGGGCCAGGACTCTGGGCACCCAGGGTAGGTCTCCAGAAAGGAAGGACAATCTGAGAACCTACTGCCTTTTTTTTTTTTTTTTTTTTTTTTTTGCAAGAGGCAGAATCCAGCAAATCACTGATATCACTGATGAAAATTTAGGCAGTACCAGAGAAATTTCCAATCCACCTAAGCCTCTTTGAGGCTTGTTTCCACAACAACCGGAGAGATCTATACAAAATGTCCAGGATGCTTTAAGAAAGAATGCTCAACTGGGGCACCTGGGTGGCTCAGTCAGTTAAGCGTCCAACTTGGGCTCGGTGCTGACAGCTCAGAGCCTGGAACCTGCTTCAGATTCTGGTGTCTCCCTCTCTTTCTCTGCCCCTCCCCCACTCATGCTCTGTCTCTCAAGAATGAATAAACGTTAAAAAAATTTTGAAAAAAGAAAGAAGGAATGTTCATCAGGATAGTGTACTTTTCTGTTTGTCACTTGATTGTAAATTTGGGATCCCCTTCATACCCACTCTGAACGCACACACACCACCACCCTCACTGCCACACTGCACACTCACTGACACTACTCCAGGGGTCCACTGTTGGGTGACAAGTAAAAAGATTCTTACATGCTTCAGAAAGTCTTTCTTTAGTCGATTGTAGCTCATCAGATTCTTAGATGCTGGCTTTTTAATTCTCATACCTAGTGTAAAAGAGACAGGCAGTGTGTAAGTGCTTGTGGTAGAGTCTATCGTAATATGAGTAAATGAAATTTACTAGTATTCCAAAATCACTTTTAATCAATAACTTCAAACACTCACATACATACTAGTTTCCCAGTCCCACCCAACATCTGTTACCACCACAACCTTCTCACATGTATAGTCTTTTTCAGAGGTGCTGCTGGGAAATGTTTCTCTGGGATTTCCCCCTCCTTTTGTTTCTGCATCCTGCCATCCTTACTGTTAGGAGAGGTACAACAAAATAACAGGGTGCATGACAGGAGGAAAGAAGCAGAAATGCAAAAGGCCTTGAATGACCTCAGACGCTGGAAGGGGTGAAAATATCAGATGAAGACCGTCATTCAAATCAAGGCAGAACATGATGTAAAGTGGTAGGTTAGGACAGGACTTACCTGATTTTTCATAATTTGGAGGTGCTGGAGAAAAATCACCACACAGAATTTGGTGTGCCTGTGAAAAATATAAAAATAAATGCCAACTGCTTTCACAACAATAGAAATTTAATAAAATTCTTTTTCCTGTGTTGTGCTTCCTCATTCAGGAGGCAGTTTGATACTGCTATCCAAACCCACTGTTGTAACAGACACCAACAGTGAAATCAAAAGACAAAATTGGGGGAGAAATGTATAAAGTAAGATAGGCAAAAGAGTACTATCTCAATATGGAGATAGCTTATACAAATCAATGAGAAGAAGCTAAACACCCTAATAGAAAAGTGGGCAAAGGAAATGAATACAGTCAGTTATCATTATTCATGGATTCCGTAGTTTCCAATTTTCCTACTCGTTAAAATTTATTTGTAACCCCAAAGCTAATACGTGCAGCACTTTTGAAGCATTCAAGGACATGCACAGAGTTAACAAGTTGAGTCACCTGATGTGCACGTTTCCAGTCGAGGTCAAACCAGAGGTCACTTTGCCTTCTTGTTTCAGCTCTCGTACTTTACACAAGTGTCCTTTTTGTGGCCTGTTTAGTGCCACTTTTTCTGCATTTTTATGCATTTTATGAGTGGTATCACTTTTTGAAATGGCCTCCAGTGTCATGCTGACGTGCTGTGTAACGTTCCTACGTGCAAGAGGACTTTGATGTGCCTTATGGAAAAGATACATTTGTTAGGTAAACTTCATCCAGGCGTGATTTATAGAGCTGTTGGCTATTAGTTCAATGTCAGTGAATCAACAATACGTATGAAATAAGGTAGCTTTAAACAGAAACCTACATAAATACAAATTTACAGTTGATGAAATGTTGTGACCAGAGGCTCACAGGAACCTGGCCCTACATTTCTCCTAGGAGCAACAGTTCCATAATGACCACTTCACTGTTAGTAGGGAATTTAGAAAACATAACTACCTTGAATTATGAAAATTGACTATCAGCACAAAAAAGCTATAAATAAGTAATAAGCAGAGGATGCTCAAACTCACTAATAATCAAGGAAATTAAAATTAAAAGGAAAGTAAAATATCTTCATCTATCCAATTGGGAAATACTAAAATTATTTTTTAAAGCCAGTGTTAGAGAAAATATAGGAAAACAAGCACTCTTGAGGACCGCTGGTGCATGAGGCCAATTTTCTGGAAGGCAATTTGGCCATATATCAAGATTTAAAATAAGCATAACAACTCCTGATCCAAGAATTCTACTTATGAGAAAGTACCCTGAGGAGATAATTGTACAATTGCAAAATTTTACATTTAAATTTACTCATCACTGCATTATTTACAATAGTTGCCAATTTGAAACACCTAAATGCCTAGCAATACAGGATATTTTTACATTGCGATATATCCAGTCAATGGAACATTATGTATCCATTGAAATGATAAATATTGCTAATACTGAAAGAAATGTCCATGAAAATATTCAGTGATTAAAGCAGATTGCAGAGGACAGTGGATCCCATCAAGGCATTCTGTGTGTGTGTGTGTGTGTGTGTGTGTGTGTGTGTGTGTGTATCTTTACATATGCATAAATGTAGAGAGACATTCCTGAGGAAGTTCACTAAAATGTTAATGGCAATTATCTCTGGGGGAGGGAAAGGATTTCAGATAATTTTTACTTCTGCCTCTATTTCTCTGTATTATTTGAAAGGTTACAATCAGAGAAAAGCTGTTTTTGTTTTTAAACTGTCAATATAATCTATATAGT